ATTATTATTATTATTGTTTTGGAATAGAGAGGGCAGGGTGGCTACAATAGATGAGGTGGCTGGTGTATTTTACCGAGGTAGTAACATGTGGCTGAAGACAGAATTAGAGGGAGCCAGTCTGGGGAAGATAGTGGGCATTCCAGGCAGAAGGACAGGCATGCACAGAGACCCTGAGGTGAAGGGTCCCTGTCTTGAAAAGCTCTATTTATGTTTGTCTTTACCTCTGCATCTGTAGCTCTCATCCTTTTGGGGAATCATATCCCTCCTCCCCTGCTTGAGTGGACACCTGGGTGGCTCAGTCCTTTAGGTTCTCAGCTCTGGATTTCAGCTCAGGTCGTGGTCTCCAGGTTGTGGTCTTGGGGTCATGGGATGGACCCTGCATAGGGCTCCAAAGTCAGCCCAGAGTCTGCTTGGGATTCTCGCTCTCACTCTCCCTCTGCCCCTTTCTCTGCTCATGGGTGTTCTCTCTGTCAAATTAAATAAATAAATGAAATCTTAAAGCAACAACAACAACAAACAATCCTTGGGTGTTGAAAATCTGAAAATGAGCTCTAGCTCCTGGCTCCGAAGAACGTGCAAATGCACAGACCAACAAATTTGCAACCTATTTCCCTATAATTCCTACAGCCAGGGAACTTCAGGAAGATTTCCTGCCCAGACTGGGTTCACCTTCAGGGCAGAAACAGGGTCTACCTCTGATACCTAAAATGTGCTCTATAGTGTGCTTTCCTTCATTGTCTTTCTGATCCCTCGAAACCTCCCCACGCTGTTGGCACAGTATTATCCCTATTTGATAGATGGAGATAAGCCTCGAAGGCGGTGTGTTACTTGGCTAATGTCACACAGCCTGAGAATGACAGGGAGGGAACTTAAACCCAGGCACTCTGAAGGGGAAGGCACTGCCAGGTCAGCTTGGGGCCCATCACTGAGCAGGAGGTTTGGAGTCTTGTCCTGAGCAAAGGCTGGGGAGAAAGAGCTGCTGGAACTTTCTGTGAGGGGCTTAGAGATGTCAAAACCTGCTCTGTCTAGGTAACTGCTTTCCTTCTTGCCCTTCCTTTTCCTTGTCCTCCTCTTCTTCCTCCTTCCTTTTTTTTTTTTTGTTGAATGATGATATTTGATTTTCTTATAAAGAAGTCTTTCTGCCTTAGAAAGAGTCTTTTAAATATAGAATTGGAAATATACTTCTCTCTCTGGGACAGCTCACAATGAATAATAGCAGAGGCAGATCCACACCCCAACACCCAACCCCAAAGGGAACCTGGCTTGGGATTTTTCTGTTGGCTTTTAAAAAAGATTATTTATTTACTTTTTTGGGACCAGGTAATGCATTCACACGGTTCAAAAATCAAAAGGTACAAAAAGGAACACAGTGCAAGTCTCTCTCATTCCCCTGCCACCTGCCACCTGGTTTCCTTGCCTGGAGGCAACCGAGGTGCCCCACTTTCTTGTGTATCTTTCCAAAGATGTCTTATGCAAATATAGGCATATCCAATACATACACACGTGCATATATATACACATAAATAAATGCATACATACATATATATGTAATTTCTTTCTTTAAATGGTTATTTTCTTAACCCTTGAGTTGCAGACACAGACTATACTCTTCTGTCTCTTGTCTCTCTACCCCTGTGCACGCCTCAGAGAGAGTGGAGGCCCACGGGGATCCTGGGAACCCAGGGTTTTCCTCAGTTTCCAGGCCCATTTTCATGGCAACCCCTGCCCCTGCACCCCTTGCCCACCACGCTTTAGACTCTTTTCAAAGTCTTTCCACCTGTGAAAATTCGCCAAGCACTCACAATGGCCCATGCGCTGTAGGAACTATTTGCCCCACTTTACCCGCAAGGAAAGAGACCCAGAAAACGTCGAGTAACTTGCTGAAAAGCGCACAACTGATGTCCTTGTGCGGCAAGGGCCGGGGAGCAGTATGGGGCTCGGTCCAGCTTGGACTTTGGAAGCCAGAAGAAAGTTGTTTACTCCAAAGTCACAGTTTAAAAATATTTCGGTGGCACTAGGTGTGGGGCCGTGGAAAAAAAGAAAAAAGAAAAAAAAAAAAAAAGGAAGGGAATTCGCAGTTTCAGCCGGGCTCGCTTTCTGGCTCTGCCACTTCTTACAACCTGGTAAGGTACTTCGCGGTTTGTAGCCTCAGTTTGCCCATCTAGAAAGTGGGGATGATAATATCCACCCAGGGGGGTGGAGAGGGACATAATATAAAAGAGAGCCATTTGTAAAATGGGGCCTATTCCGACGCTTGCTTTGCATCATCATCATCATTATTATTATTATTGCCGCTCCTTGTGGGGGGCGTTTCCTGAAGAGAAGGCAGGCTCACACCGGGGTGCAAAGCTGACCCGCCTACAAGCCACAAACCTAAGAAAGACCCTTTCTGGCCTAGTGAATTGTAAATCAGGAGCCCTCCAGCCTGACCAGTCTTCCTTGCCAGCTCGGAACCTCCGGGGTGGTTAGAACAGCCCCAGGGCCTGAGCACAGACTATTCCTCAGTGGGTGTCTCGAATTTACTTTGATCTGAAACTTTCCCTGCAGATCAATTCTTTTTTTTTTAAGTTTATTTTTCCAATTATAAAACTAGAATGTGCTGACGAGAGAAAATTTGGAAAATATTGAGAAGGAAAGGGGACAAATATGAAACCAATCCTTACACCTTCCTCCTCCGGAGAAGCCCACTTTGGTAAACATTTTGGTGTATTTCCTTCAAGTCTTTTTTACCCTTAGGCACTTATGATAATTCTTAGCAGAGCAGTTCTTTCTTTCTTTCTTTTTTCTTTTACAGCTTTACTGAGGTAAAATTGTTATACTCAAAGCGGTAAATAATTAAATGTGTAAAATTCAGGGCGACTGGGTGGCTCAAATGTTTGAGCGTCTGCCTTTGGCTCAGGTCATGATCTCTGGGTCCTGGGATCAAGCCCCAAGTTGGGCTCCCAGCTTGGCGGGAAGTCTGCTTCTCTCTCTCCCTCTGCCTCTCCCCTTGCTTGTGCTCTCTCTGTCTCCCTCTTTCTCAAATGAATAAATAAAAGATCTTTTAAACAATGTGTATAATTTGATGACTTCAGACTGTACGCAGCAACTCAGTCTGTCTTGCTGGTTTTGCGAATGCTGTGCCCACCTTTGGGTATTTCTTTCTTTTTAAAAAAAAAGATTTTATTTATTTATTTGACAGAGACAGCGAGAGAGCACAAGCAGGCAGAGCAGCAGAGGGAGAGGGAGAAGCAGGCTCTCCACTGAGCAGGGAGCCCAATGTGGGACTTATCCCAGGACCCTGGGTTCACGACTTGAGCCCAAGGCAGTGGCTTAACCAACTGAACCACCCAGGCGCCCCTGAACCTACTTTTCAAAAGGATTTTATTTTGAAGTGATCTCTATGCCCAAGGTGGGGCTCAAACTCACAATCTCGAGATTATGAGGTTACGAGTCATTCGCTCACAACTGAGCAGGACAGGGCCCCAGGCCTACTCCTCAACAAGAATTAAGTGGAAAGGAATCCTGAAGGCCATTGAGGTGCTGCACTCTCAGGAACAGGCCAAGCTCCTGGGAGGCCCCGCAGGGGTGGGTTCTAGAACTTGCTCTGGTGCACTTGGTGGCACTGGCTGTCCAGTGGGTAAAAGGTCCTTTTCATTCAGGTCCGTTCTCCTTGTGAAAGGAAACTGGAGCACTAGCATGTTCCATTTTACCGGGTGGTTGCCTCTTGGGGCCAAGGCCTTTACAGGAATTTGGGGTGATGGCTTTGGAGGTGGAGCCCCTAGAGAGGATTGGGATAGGGGAGACTGCAACCGGATCAAGCAAGCCTGTGAGACAACAAACCTTGCTGGGTGGTCTCTTGTAGGCTAGGAATTTGGAATTCCTGGTTTGCCTTCCTTGGCCTCCCCCACCCCCACCTGCCCCATTCAGTGCCTCCCCCCCTTCTATTTTTTTAAATCCCTCTTCTTTTTGGTATAAGTAAAACTTCCCTTAAGCTGAGAATGTATAATTAGAATAGCGGGCATTTGGAGTGACTGGTATTCCTAGCCAACCAGGGGCCCCAATGTTGTTTAATAAAAGCTTGGCTATTCCCATCCCGGATATGGTCAAGGCTTTTTCCACTCCCTTCTGCGGAATGCCCATCCCCCCTCTGAGGCCTGGAGAACTACAACTCACCCTAGGAGGCCTGGCTCAAATATCACCCCCTTTGAAACGCTCCAGGATGCTGTTCTGGCTGGGCGAGTTGCCTTTTCCTAGATGCTCCCCCCAGCTCTGGATTCATGTTGGTAGCAGAGTGAGAAATCGGTTGGGATCTGGATCTTCCCTTCCTTTGCCCTGTTTGGGAGTTCCTAGATGGCTAGGATGGGGCTGTGTCCTTGTCTCCTATCTCAGTCCCAGGAGTTGGAGGGGCTTTTCATAAATATTCGGGGAATCAAGTGATCAGATCACAATGTTTCACTGTCCTTTCTGCTTCATCTCACTGGTTATTCCCTGTCCCCATTTTGCCACCTTCTCTTCCTCTGCCCCCAGATGACAGTACCAACTGGATCCCTTTTTTGTCAAGTGCGCTGATCATCTACACTCAATGGGGGCAAGTATCCTTGCTATCCATCAAAATGCCTCTCCTTAGATCCACAGGCCACCTACCCTTCCCGTCCCTGACTCTCTCCGCAGGGAGGGGAGAGCTCCTCCCCAGTGTGTGGGGGTACACGCTCCTTGGTTGCAGTGCCTGTATTCTCATGAGGCCTGGATGGGCCCCAGCACAGGATGGAGCTTGGCCACATGTCACCAGGACTTAGCAGGGACACACTAGTTCCTTTGTGAGGAAGGGGTGGTGGTGGGGTGAAGTGGGATGGGGGTGGGGCTTCGTGGGGGATCCAGCGCTCAGAGAGCTTCCCAGGCGGGTCCCCAACAAACCATGGAAGCAGCAGTGTTATCCTTGATACTTCGGTGAGAGGAAATGTTCCCAACTGTGAGTGCTGTACGGGGCACTGTACAATGAGGACAACGGGACAAAGAGGTAGATTTTCAAAGATTTTATTAAAAAACAAAATAGATCCACAACCCTAAAAACAACTCAGGTAGATTTCTTCCCACCTCCCAGTCTGCCGATCAGTTCCCCTCCCCTAAGACTCCATGTGGATGGTCCTGAGGCCCAAACCCTGCCTCTGGGCTCCCCCCACCCCACAAACCAGTGACCAAAGCATCACGCTTTTCTCCAGCGCCTGATGTCTCCTTTAAGAAAATAAAAATACCCCCTCCCTGACTTGCTTAAAAATAATTTTCAAAGATTAAAAACGGCATTTGTGTGTTTTTTAAAAATAAACACTTTAAATGCTGGAAATCTCTTTCTTCCCCTAGGCCTAGCTGAGGCCTCTGGGGTGCCTGCCTTCCTCACCCCAGGAGGCCAGCTGCCACTTGGTGCCCCTTGGAAATTTTCAGGAAGTAATTTCTTCCAAATTTCCCCTGCAGTCACAAATTCCACACGTTGCTCGCATAAACACGCTGTCTTCATTACAAGCACTGCTCCTTGGCTCTGGAAACCTGATCTCTTTTTGTCAACTAGACCACATGCTTCAGATTCCCTGCAAACAGGAGAGAAAACAAAATTCAAATTCAGGTAACATATGTGAATTATACCTCAATAAAGCTGTTTTGTTTTTTTAAAAAAGGACTCGCATTTTGGGGCTTGTTCTCTTGTTGCTCCTGGGAACCTAGAGACCTCAATATATGAACAAGCCCAGGCTAGCCTGCTGTATGGTGGGAGACATACGGCTCAGTTACCCTGGCAACTGCCAGTTACCCACCAGATGAGTGAGTGAGGCCTTTGGCAGCCAGCTGGTGGCAGAACCAACTGGGTGAACCCAGCCAAAGCCAGCAGAAGAACCGCCTGGCTGAGCCCAGCCCAACTGCCAATCCACAGAGTCATGAGCTAAACAAATGATTATTTTAGGCCTCACGCTTGTGGTGCACATGGGCACACCCCCCCACCCCCCAACACAGTCAACTTCTTAGACTTCACACTTCACTAACTGTGTCAAGTTTTCCCCCACCCTCCTCAACCTTTCTTCCTGGCTTAGCTGGGCACAACCCTCCTAGCATTTTCTCTTGTGAACACATATGAAGTATGAACTAGGGGCTTTCGCCTGCCCTTGGGCCTAAGAGTCTTTCAGGGAAAAGGGAGCACCTGCAATCCTACAGATCTGAGCTCCATGAATGAAAGATTTGCTCACTTGGTCTCTTTCTCCTTGCCCCACTTGCCCAAGCAACACTGGGCTCTATACCCTGTTGACAACTTGTCCTCTGAATCAGGAAGAATGCACCATGAGGGCAGGGACCCAGGCTGTCTTGTGTTTTCGCTGATTGCCAAAGTCTAGCACAGGGCCTCACACACAGCAGGTGCTCAATAAATGGCTGCATACATGGAGGGAGGAAGGAAAGGAAAAAAGCAATCAGCACCCACTTGCCTATCTAGTCTTACTTGTTGTTTATTTAAGGTTTATTTATTTATTTTAGCAATAAAGTTTATTTCTTTCTTTAGTCATCTCAACACCCAACAGGGGGCTTGAACTCAGAACCCTGAGATCAGAGTTGTATGTTTTTTTGACTGAGCCAGCCAGGTGGCCTTCTAGTTTTAATTTTAATTTTAAATTAACATGCAGGAAAATTGACTTGATTTGTATGTGCAGGTCTATGATTTTTTAATACATGTGTAGATTCATGATACAGAACAGTCCCATTACATGCCTCCAAAATTCCCTGTGTTAGCCCTTGGCAGTCACATCCTCTCCTTTGCCTCTTACCACCTGGCAATCACTGACCTATTCTCATCACTCTAAGTGTTGCCTTTTTGAGAATGTCATATGAGTGGAATAAAAAAAAAAGTGTATAACCTGTGACTGGCTTTTTTTCATGCAGCACAATGCCTGGGTGTGTCATGAAAACTTTCAGGTGTATCAACAGCTTATTCCTTTTTTGGGGGGGGGTGGTACTTAACTTTTAAATTTTTAAATTATCATAGATTTATAGAAAGTTGCAAAACAATGTCAAGAGGTACCCTTCATCCTGTTTCTCCGAGTGGCAACATCTTTCATAATGATTATTTGATATAAAACCCAGGAAACTGACATTGGTACATCACAGACCACATTCGGATTTCATCAGTTTTACACACACACACTTGTGTGTGTGCACATGTGTCTGTGTCTGTAAGTATATAGTTCTCTACAGTTTTATCACATGTAGGTTTGCATAATCCCCATCACAAGAAGATACAGAACTTCATCTGTCACCATAAAGAGTTCCCTCCCGCTACCTTGTTATGGTAATTCCCCTCTAATCCCTAACCCCTAACAACCATTACTCTGGTCCCCGGTTCTATAATTTTGTATATAACCTTTTGAGATTGTCTTTCTTCACTCAGCATACTGCCCTGAAGATCCATCCAAGTTGTCATACGTTAAGTTCATTCTTTTTTTTTTAACCACAAGAGTAGGATTCCATGGTCTGGATGCACCAGAGTGTGTTTAACCATTCACGAACTGAAGGGTATCTGGGTTGTTTCCAGTTTGGGGCTATTACACAGAAAGCTGCTGTGAACATCCGTGTACAAGTTTTTGCATGAACATAGCTTTCGTTTCTTTGGGATAAATGCCCAAGAGTGCAGTTGCTGGATTATATGGTAGTTGCACGTTTGGTTTGAAAACTGTCAAACTGTTTTCCAGAGTGGTCATACCATTTTGCATTTCCACCAGCGATGTATGAGGGATCTAGTTTCTCGGCACGTTTTTCTTTTTTTTTTTTTTTTTTAAAAAAAGAGATTTATTTATTTATTTGAGACAGAGACAGAGACAGAGACAGAGAGCACGAGCAGGAGGAGGAGGAGGAGCAGAGGGAGAGAGAGAATCCACAAGCAGACTCTCTGCTGAGCGCAAAGCCCAACAACACGGGGCTCGATCTTGGGACCCTGAGATCATGACCTGAGCCGAAACCAAGGGTCAGCTGCTTAACTGACTGAGCCACCCAGGCGCCCCATTTCTCAGCATTTTTGTCAGCATTTGGTGGTGTCACTAGTTTTTATTTTGGTCATTCTTATAGGTGTGTAGAGATCTCTCACTGTGGTCTCCGTTTGCATTTTCCTAATGGCTAATGATGTTGAACATCTTTTCATGGGCTTATTTGCTATCTATATATCCTCCCCATGTCTTTTGTTAACTGGATTTTTTTTTTATTACGGTTGAGTTTGGAGAGTTCTTTATATATTCTAGATACAAAGCTGCTGTTAGAGATATGATTTGCAAATATTTTCTCTCAATATGTGACTTGTCTTTTCATTCTCTTAACTCTTGCAAAACAAAAGTTAATTTTGTGGATCATGTCTTTGCTGTTTTAAAGCCCAAAACTCATTGTCTCTGGACAGTCTTTTATTCTTCATCTCTTAGTTCAAGCCTCCTCCACATCTAATGAGTTGCCAAGCCTAACCTCCAGATGCCTCGCAACTCTGCCCTCTCCTTCCTGTTCCACTGTCTCAAACTTAGTCACATCTCTCATTAGGTCACTGGTGCTCCTGCCTATGGAGTTGTCCCCCGCACAATCGCAAGCTATGATCACATGCCTTCCCTGCTCCCAAAATCCTTCAGCAGCTCCTCACTACCTACGAATGAAGTCCAATCCCTTAGCTTAAGTGTGCCCCATCCACACTTTCCCATTTCCATGGGGGCCTTTGCAACAATGCATTGCCTCTGCTGAGGAAAATCTACAGAGGATCCTGATGCTGAAGCTAGGGGTCCTTCTGACTCTCAGTGTAGCCAGAGCTTGATAATGAATGAGTGACTTCATGGATAAACAAAATTCCACGTCCAAGTATTCCAACCACACATGTTCACAGAAAGGAAAGGTGGGTGCTATACCCTTTGTTGCTCTGTCTCACTCTCCAGTTACATTTGGAGGCAATTAAGAAAAACAACAGAAATAATTTCCGCCAAAAGTTGGTGATGAGCAATATTGAGTTTGGGTAACAATAAAAATGTAAGCTTAAATAATGCCTATTGTTTCCCCCTCACGTCTAGCTTTTCCAACAGTGGGTGGCAGCCTGAGAAAATTCTAAAGGCCGGCATGGTCTGGAGCCTGGGGAGACACAGAGTACAGACCAGAGGAGGAAAACACAAATGTTTATAGAGGCCAAGAATGCACTGTATGTGAGTCAAGCGGATTAGGGGCAAGACGTATGGAGCCTTCTTGAGCCTTTATTCTTTTTCTTATTTTGAGTCATGACATGAGTATAAGAAATAGTTCCCTTTTTTCTTAATTCTATTACGAAAGAAAACAAAACCAAAGCAGTGTAAATGAGATGACAAATGAAAATTCACACTTGGGGGCACCTGGATGGCTCAATGGATTAAGCCTCTGCCTTCAGCTCAGGTCATGATCTCAGGGTCCTGGGCTCGAGGCCCATATTGGGTTCTCTGCTCAGCAGGGAACCTGCTTCTCCCTCTCTCTCTGCCTACTTGTGATTTCTCTCTCTCTGTCAAATAAATAAATAAAATATTAAAAAAAAAAGAAAAAAAAGAAAGTTCACACTTGGCCTAGGGTAGAATATACAAGAGGGAACAGTGGGGCTTGTGGCACAGAGGACGGTAGAAGTTCACAAAAAGGGCAGCAGCAACCTAGTCCCAGACACTGACTACTGTGCAGGAAGGTGGGCCCAGTGTGACCAGATCTTTCCATTTTCCAAGAGAAGGCAGAAATTTCCATTTGTGTGCAAAGTTTCCACCATCTTAAATGCGGATAACTGCTTCACACTTTTTTAAGATATCAATATATGAGGCCAAGTGAAACAATTTTGGAGGCAAGATGTGGCTCCATGGGCTACAGGGCTGTGATCTCTGGGTTATCTCTGGGACAGTTCTGACTTAGACCTCAACATCCTCAAATATCCTGGTTTGGACAATACATTGTATCATCATCCTACCTCTGGTGTATAAGAAGGAGTACCGAATTGGGACTCAGGAGGCCAGCGTTCTATTGATTCATCGACTGACTGACTGACTCATTTGTTCATGCATTTATTCAATAAACATTTATGGACTATCTATTCTTTGCCAGGCACTAGGTGCTGGAGAGCGTTGTCTTTAGTCCTTTTTTTTTTTTTTAAGTTAATAGACTTTATTTTTAGAGCAGCTTTAGATTTACAGAAAAACCGAGCCGAAAGTACCAAGATTTCTCAAATCCTCCTGCCTCTCGCCTCCCCTGGAAGGCGGTGTCCACCCTATTATCAACATTTTGCATTAGCATGGTACATTTGTTTTAGGTGATGAAATATGGACATGATTATTAAGTAAAAGTCCATAGTTTATATTAGGTTTCACTCTTAGTGTTGTACAATTCTATGAGTTTTGACAAGTGTAGAATTCACTATTACACCTATTCGTGCTTTCCTTCCTTTCCCCAAAGCCCTGGCACCCACTGACCTGTCTTTCTAGTTTTGCCTATTTGAGAATGTCCTATGGTTGGAATCATAGAGTACTCAGCCTTTACAGACTGTCTTCCTTGACTTAGCAATATGTGCTTAAGTTTACTCCTTGTC